AGTTAAGCAGGAAAGCCTTTTATCTTCACTGGTTTCCGAGTTAGCAATTTACCCGCAAAAAACCTTCTTGAGCCCATATGTAGGTCTAAAGTCGTTAATACCTACGTGGAGGGGAGCACCCTCTCAAAAATTCCATTCTTTTAGCTTTTTAATTTCCTAAGTTAACAACTTACCCGCAAAAAAATTCGCTGGTCCGTACGTGAAAACCATAAACACCTGAGGGCTAGGTTTGAACTCACCAAGACTTACGTGGACGTGGAATATACCCTTAAAATTACAGTCTTCTAGCTTTTCTGGTTACCAAGTTGGCAACTTGTACTGGATGGAGAACATCATACCCCTTCAACTTAAGCTTTCTGTCTTTTCAGAATCTCGAGTTAGCAACTTACCCGCAAAAAACTTCCACTGGCCCGTGTGCAGGAACCATGCATACCCAGACGCTGGGCCTGAACCCGCTGGGACCTAAGTGGACAAGGAATATCGCCTCAAAATTACACTAATTTTTTTTTTAGCTTCCCGAGTTAGCAACTTACCGAAAAAACTTTCACGGACCCATACGTGGGAACGTCGCTTACCAGGACTGATGTTGAACTCAACAATACCTACTTGGACGAGAAACATCCCTTTAAAATTCCAGTCCTGTAGCTTCTCAGGTTCTCGAGTTAGCAACTTAACCGAAAAAAAAATTTCACAGGCTCATACGTCAGGAACCACGTATACCCCGGGGCTAGATTTGAATTCATTAATACCTCCTACATGGATAGGGAACATCTTAAAATCTCAGCTTTCTAGTTTCTCTGGTTCCCGAATTACTAGTTTGCTTGCTATAAACTTTGGCGATCCCGTACTTGGGTGCTACGCGGGTAAGAGCGCCCATTTTGGGGTTGGATCCGTAGGTGTATGTAGATTAAGTTCCCAAAGTTTCAGCCCTGTAGCTTTTATAGGTCTTGAGATGAAAAATCGGTACTGGCGCACACACAAACACACAACCTCTCGTCAGTATGTGTTTTCTGCATTGCACAGATACAGAAAAAGCATAATACAAAAATTCTGGCCAGCAAAGTCGTCCGCAGTAATTGCCTCAGTTCCTGAATTGGAAGCGGTACGTCGGCTGCTCTTCGTTTCATTGATGAGCGCGGTCCATCGCCCCCAAATCGTTTTCTTGAGCACGGTTCATCGGCTCCGGACCGCCCAAATACCGATAAACTATTAAATCTTTATCAATAAATGATAAAAAATAACAAACTTTAAAACATGAAACGTCAAACGCGAATATATAAAACACACAAATCAATTGCAATATATTACTACTATACAAAATATATGGCACAGCAATAATGCAAAAAATGGGATGGGGTGGTTTCCTTCGTCATTCCTCGGCGAATAATGAAATCGGCCGAGGAACTTCAGATGATCGCCAGTCCATCGCCGCCACCCGGAAATCCGAACCTCTACGACGAATAAGGGCATTTTGGCAGAAGTCCTACGCCCACCGAGGAATGTGAGTAGCCATCCCCAGCTTACTCATATTCCAGGTGCCAACAAAATACAAATACAGCGGATAAAAATGGAACTGCGCTATCGACATATACATGCCTCATGTGGGTACACATAATTTTTAAATATGATTCGAACTTTAAGAAGTTGCACCTTCTCGTCCATAGTCTAAAACTGACTGCAAACTGAAAATAGCGTTTGTAATAATAGACCTTTGATATTAAATGCTGCTTTCCCTGTTTAAACAAAATGAAGGGTAAGTCCGGATTCAGTTCCACATGTTGTGAGAATATTCGAAGCAGGTCTTGGTGTACTGCTCTAATTTTGTTACGAGGAAGACGAGGAACGACGGCGTTACGACGAAGATGCTGGTACGACGAGCTTCGGACGGGAAATCGGATGACCGCTGCTGTACTGTGGCGTGTAGTGGGCAGATTGGAGTAAACGAACAAACTTTATTAACACGAACACAAGTTTACAAGGCTTCGTTGGGGCGACGGGATTATGTTGGGCGATTGCAGCGACAACCGCTGCGAACAAGGTGTCGATAACTGGATTGTAGCACCACACTGCTGCACTGCGCCAAACCACCGGACACGCTGAACGCCAGCGATCCGGAATACTGAAGACACGGGACGATGACGATGAACACTAGGGGATACACGACGATACACGGAGGACGCACCCGACGATAACGTTGAGACGAAACATATACACTGGATATTGCAACAAATTCACCAGCTTAAATACTTATCACAAAGGGCGGGACAGATCACGGGTCAAACT